TAATTAAGGATGACAGCGCACACGCACAAACTTTTCAGAGGCCTCAAATTTCCCGCCGCTAACAGAATACGTTCAACTGTCAACCTGCGTGGTCTGAGGTCTTCTGACGGGCTGTGGTCATGAGGCTGCCATCAAGTCCAGTCTCGAATTGGACCGTCATGTCGAGATCAGGCAGCTGACATTGACGACGTCGTCTCGTGTGACTCGGCGCGATGGGAGGGTTAACGCCGAGGATGCAGGTTGGACAAAAGGCCGTGACCGCAGACATGTGAGAGGGCAATTTGAGCAGCCTGCATTCTTCAGGTCACGCATTCCCACCTAGTCCTCGTACAACGCCTCGCCCCCGATGCAAGAACCCTGGGCAGAGGGTGAATTGCCCAAGTCGTCGGGCCGAATCAGCTCGACCAATTGCAGCTTTAGAGAGCGCCCAGACTGTGCCAGCCCACCAGACCAGTCTAGTCCTTGAAGAAAATGGTCAAGATGCGAAATGTGCCCAGCTAAACGGGTCGGCCTCTTGCTTAAAACTGTCTATTCCACAATTGCAGCATCAGCCTCTTGGCTTCGCAACTTACTCGCGACGACAAGAAGACATTGTGGAATTCACCGACTGCCAGAGTTGTCATGACATTTTTCACTTCGCCAACATCCCACCCAGTGGGGCAGTTAGCGACAGTTACAATTTATCAAAGTGATTCAACCGAAGTATGCATTCAGCACTAAATCATGTGCTCTTGTAATGATTTATTCTCACATCATCCAGCATTGATCTGTAATATGCATCATTTGGCCTCCATTAATGTCAGACAATGTGTCTGATGTCATTTTGGAAAATCGGTCATGTTGTCAGGACATCTTCGCACTGCCTCCGCGGCTATTTGAGTCATTATAACTCCCAGCGGGCGTGGTCACTGGCAGTAGTGAGCTACAAATAAGCGCATAGATTAATGTAAACTACATGTTTTGCCCAACTATCAGCTGGCGCATCCTCCACGCTGATATCCGCGTTGCTACACTCCCTCTCTAGCATACCATTCTATGTGTTTATTCTCGCTTTCGCAGGAGCAATGTGCCTCTGGGCGGACTAAATAAGCTCTAATCCCATTCGGTGTTGTTTTCTTTCAATCATTTCACTCAGCCTCTGCCACAGTGTCAGTTATGCTGGAGGCGTTGGGAGATGTGATCCAGCTCAAGCATTTGCTGGCACGCAAAGGGTGGGCATTTCGAGGAAGACTACAAAGCTCTGGTCGAACGATAGAGTAGATCAATTTGTGATCTCCCTTTCGATATGGACGCACAAATGGGCTTTCTCTGATCTCACCACTTGGATGCATCAAAAGCAAAGTCAGATAGGAGAGTAAACGACCATGACTACCACGCAGGCTTCAGTGAGTCCAAATAAGACTAGCCCAACATTGTATGGGGAATTAAATGTCCAATTACGTTAAACATAGCTAAATCAGCTACACAAATAAGCACCAGTGACACTTTTAATAGGCCTCTTTCAAAAATGGAGATTTCAGTCAAGAAAGATGATGCAATTCTGACATTGTCAATCTGGACTGATTGTGAAGTTCACGAGAGGACTAAATCTTTTCTTGAAATTTAACGTTTAAGTCTGCAATATGTGGGTACAGCACCATCTTGACCACATTACTATCCCAAACGAGATACAGAGCTTAGATAGGAACGACAAGATGATGTGGCCTTAGGCTTGTCTCAGTTTTCTTCACCTGTAAACTGTTGGTTTAACCTCCTTTTCGCGACTAGATCGGAGGGACAGTAAGACCTTGTGGAACGTGTATAATCTTGAGTCGTCGGCCAGGAATGAACCAGGTGAACGGCCCAAAGCTGAAAATAATCATAAATAATCGAGGGAAGATGACTTAGTAATAGGAGCATGTTATGAAAACGAGGTCAAACCAACAGATCCGTTGCAGCTTGAAATACACGTGTACTAGCAATATAAAGTTATTCCATACATAAGGACTTGGATTACTTTTGTGAACATCACTTTAATAACTGAGTTATTAAATATAACGATGTTTAAACAAATTGAAGATAGAAATAAGTGTGCAACTCTGAGGAATCATGTACTCCTACATAAATAATAATCTGGCTTTGAAGATGGCCTCAGATGCATGGTGGAAAGAGAAGCAACGACAGTCATAATCAGGCTCTTTAAAGTACGGCAATGGTATGTCCGTGATGAATCTGATTCTGCGAAAATTTGCTTGGATATGTAAACACTTGGTCGCATCA